GAGAGAGAGAGAGAGAGAGAGAGAGAGAGAGAGAGAGAGAAAGGCAGAAAAGTTTGGCCTATCTATAGTTTTAAAGGAGTGAGACTATTCGGACACGTGTATACGATCCTGTGGAACCTCAGTCCTGGGCCCCCCAGGGTAATTTCCGATAGAGATTGGTTTTCAGCACCCTCCAACGCTGATCGCGCATTTCCAGGTCACAGCAATTTCATGCAACCTGCAAAGATGCATTTTTATTGGTCCAAAAAGAAAGACAAGCATGTCATTCTCAAAAAGAAAAAGACCCTCAACGTATGGTACCGGTACTAACATTCATGCTAGTGTAAAAGGACACATGTGTCCGAAACACAAGCTTAAACGGACACGTCCTAATAGATGTGCGCAGCCTTTTTTAAAAATGCAGTGACTACATTCACAGCGCTGTGAACATAGTTTGCAAGCTATGATTACAGCATCCTGAATGTAGTTTGCAATTTAAGAATGATCTTGCTCACTTCATCCCCTCCCCTTTTCCTTTTTGCTTCTCTTCTTTTTTTCCACCCGGTCACACCCCTCTTCCCGCCTTGGCCTTCCCTTCTTCCCATCTCCCTTGTTTCCTCGATCGACTTTTATTTTCAAATTGTCGAGCGTTCGAAAAAGCGCCGAATAACCAACGTTGGCAAGGGAGGATAGAAGCCACTTTCAACAATCGAAGTGACTATTCGGACTCGAGTCCGAATATGAAAAAATGTTATTCGGACTCGAGTCCGAATATGAAAAAATGTTATTCGGACTCTGATTCTTGTCCAGCATGACATCACTTCCGACTTCCTGTGACTCATGACTCCGGCTTCCTGTCCTGCCTCACTCGTGACTCGCCTCAGGCTGGGTAGAGACTGGGATCACTTCGGGCAAAATTGCGTTTTGTGCAGGAGGAGCCCAGTTTTTATCTTTATATGAATTTGAGGCCGGCCTGAAAAGTTATAATTATAGCGCTTCTAATAAATGTTTATTTGTCAAGAGGTCATCAGAAGCAATTAAAGATGGCTCGTTAGCGTGTGTCAGGGTCGGATGGGCGGCCTGCACACGTGTGGCTGTGTGCGTGTCGGGGAGGTGGATGGGGGGGCACTATCGGTTCGGGCATTGAACGTCGCATACGCGTCAGTCTTTTTCCCACGGCAACTGATCATTACAATAATATAAGCTAGTCTTGACATAGATCTACGTAATAAATTGTGAGCTGGTCTATGGAATCAAAAGTTGCCGTATGCTCAGCTCTACACAGCAACACAACTTTTTCTTGGTAAACAATCGAGATGACACAGGCTTGTGTGTATTTGAACGAATCGGTCTTTTTTTTTTTAAACAGCTCATAATATGCAGGTGCCAGGTGGTCTGCTAATCTTCAATTTTACCTTTTTCTACAACAAAGAAAGTGGGAAACATGGGGGGTGGGTGGGGGGAGTATCAAAGAGGCGGTGGGCATCATATCGGCAGAAAAGGTGTGGGGGAAACTAAAAAATGGCGGAAAATTGGAAGCACTGAACGTTAGATCTATTCTATAGAACGAAGACACTTCCTTTTTTCCGGACCGGAGTCCGAAAAACATTTTTTCATATACGGACTCGAGTCAAAATAAAAAATTATTTTATTCGGACTCACAGTCCGAATATGAAAAAATGTTATTTGGACTCGAGTCCGAATAAAGACGGCCTTCATTTTATTTAATCCATTGAGACCAAGGCTCTCTCTAGTAATACCTCTCCACTGCCCTGCCTACACTTACAATCTCACCTGCAAATCTCTGAACTCGGCAACGAAATGCTCGCTACTCCACCGTCCTGCCATTTTTGTCGAAAGATATTTGACTGCCTTCCAAACTTTGATCTTATTAAACGTAGCAAAGGCAGTGTGAATTCAGTTCAGTCAGGACATGTTTCACTCTATTTCAGAGCAGAACTCTCTAGATCTAGATCTACATCTACATCTAGGCTAGGTCTAGTCTGTATTCTAGATCAAGCCAACCTCCAGTCAGAATTAGCATTACGATTGATGAAGAAATTCAGCTTTGTCTCAGTTTCAGCTGTTGGACACTAAACAGCAGAGGGTGCAAACGGACAGAATAGGCCTAGGTGGCCTTCTACAATTTGATACAAACAGGAAGGAATACTCGAATACTACGGCGTTGTCATTAAGCTGTCTTTATTTGCCAATATTAACGGATATACTTATTATGGCTCCTTTATTCGCCGTCGTATTCATGAACTTTCGAGATTTTGGTATCGATATATAATTCACATTAATGACTTTTTACAAAGATCCTTTAAACACTGTATTGTAGATTGTAGATCTACCCAACAGCCTACAAAAGATACAACTCTCTCTCTCTCTCTCTCTCTCTCTCTCTCTCTCTCTCTCTCTCTCTCTCTCTCTCTCTCTCTCTCTCTCTCTCTCTTACTCTCTCTCTCTCTCTCTCGTTTACACCCCCCCCCCCCACACACACACACACACACACATATAAATAATCATTAAAGAACATAATACAAAGTATGTGATTTTTTTTTAATATTCATTCCATGTTAGAGTAACAATTCAACAACATTACCTTTGTCTCAACGGCGTCTCGGGTGTCCATGCATGGGCAGTGCCCAGTGTCCAGTGTGCAGTCTGATGTCAATTTCGAGCAATAGAAAAGATGGCGCCACTGTAGGTGTTTTGTTTCGTACGTACTTTCGAAATGAAAATGTGAAACTGACTATATCTAATATTCTCTAATAATTATAATTATACTCTCTGGGTTTAATCTGCCTTTTTAACACCAAAGAGGTTATAAATAGTACTATACATATATGTATTACATGTATTTCTAACAACTTCTCGCCCCCCCCCCCCCCCCCCCCCGGACTCCCACCCTTCTGGCAGCCGGAAAATGAAAGATATGCCATATAATTTTTTTAAATGTTAGGCCTATATCACAATGGCATTTCTATCACGTTAACGATGAGAAGAGCGAGGCAATTCGAAGGCAAAACATAACCCTGGTGTGCAGTGTGCAGAAAACGCGGGAAAGTTCATCACCCTGGCTGGCAACTGACAAGGGCAGCCTGGGATCCTATAGAGGTGCTCTCTGAATAGGCTAACAGCAGAAAAAAAACCCTGGTGCTAGACGTATCCATCAACAGGTCACCAAGAAGGAACCATGAGCCCTGTCGAGATAACTTCGGATATTATTTAACAGATTTTTTATTTTTTTAAAGACGACCACATTACAAGAGTAATTTTCAAGAAGAGAAAAGGGCATGCGGCTGTCAAGACTGTGTTCGAAACCCCGGCTGACGAATCAGAGGTGCGAGGAATAATGGATGGATAGAATTCGTCTTTGAAGACCCAAGTTCTGGAATCAAGTAAAGCTTAGTCAAGTTTCTCTCGTGCTCTATCACAATCCCCGAGTCAATTAGCCTACATCTACGTGTAGAATCCCAAAAAAGAGATTTTCATAAAAATCCATGGGATTTGGAAAGGAATCTGCAGAACCAAAGTATTAAATAACAGACCGTAGAGATGAAAAATACAATCACTAAAGACAGTGAAAATAAAATGGAAGCAACAGAAATGTGTTGGGTTTTTTTTTTTTTATAGACTTCTATGAGTATCGTGGAAGGAAAAGAAATCAGATGAGGTAGTGCTTGGTGAAGCCCATGTGGGACGCTCAATATTAAAAACAATCAGGAAACGACAAATAAATACAGTACAGTTTTTGGGACAGCTGAATAGACATAAGTAAGGGTCGTGAACATCTAACTCTCGCTGACAGAATTGAAGGCAAACGAGGCAGGGGTAGACCCAGATACAATCTACTTGGGAAACCTAAACAAATGGGTAACAGGGAAAGATCAGGGAAACGTAGCCTTTTTGAGAGCCTCCGAGCAAAGGAATGAATGGAGAACCATGATCAACTACGTCGGTCGCAGATCTGGCACTGGACGATGATGAGAGAAGAAAAATAAAGGACGTTTAATGGGGGCAGGCGGATACACTATACATGTAATTCCTACCCTAGGCCTACAATATAATAATAAATTATAATTCAAAATTATAATTTTAGAACAGTCGAAGGACGAGGTTTTGACCCAAAAAAAAGGGGGGGGGGGGAGGGGGTGTGCAGAGTACGATGTACAGTGCATTGTTGGAAGAAGATGTCATCCCCGCTCCCCTTTTTTTCTCTAATGAAAAGGCTGGAACTGTACAGACCAGTAAGTAGTCTGGGTCACTAAGGACCATTCAAATATCGTTACGAAAAAAAAGATAGGCCTAGTCGACCTATCCTCCCTCCTCCCCCCAAATACACACCCAGAAACATGGATCCAGTAAGGCCTATATTACTATATTAGTACATTGTATGTGTGTATATTACATTAAAACTTCGCCAGACCGCCACCATTGGGGCGATCGTTGGCGATATAACGGGGCTGGTGTTAACAGGATTCCATATTCAATTTTAATTAAATTATAGTCATGCCCACGGTCAAGGGAATTGATTCTGCTGTGTGATTTTTGTTTGAAAAGTATCTTTTTTGGTGATTTACGTGTAGGCTACAAGTACTTCGAACTAAAGTAACTCCCACCCCCCTCCGCCT